GTGGATGAGATGAGAGAAAGGAAAGCTTTAGTAGAACCCAAGGTCAAGGGGAATACATAGCTATAAGCTTAGGTCTGCCAACAAACACCATTCCTGGACCCTGATTTTAACTGATGCATAGTGCTTTAAGAAGCGTCAATATGATATAATAAATTAACACGGATCCAATATGTTGTAGGTGTTTCACAGCAAATACCCAGTCTAGCAGCCTTGACTTTCAATTTCCTTTTAATCAATTTATATAATGCTGAGTCTCAAGTTGGTCAGCTACTCATTTACAACTTATGGTATAGTTGCAGTAAGTTTAATGGCTATGCTGCTTCAATAGATAGAATTCATAAAGCCTGCTTTTAAAGAAAACTCTTGATTAAGAGATCAAGAAGTGTGCAGTTTATCCTTTACCAAAGTATTTTGATTTGGACTCTATTACAAAAAAAGCAAACATTTCCTAGTTAAAAATGTTTCAAAACTATTACAAGGACTGATGCCGAAGAGCAAGAGTCATCAGAAACATTTTTCAGGAAGGATATTTTTCAAGCATTTCATTCTTAAAAAAGCAATATCAAGGCAAAAAAAAAAAAACTGGATTATACAAGTATTTCAGGAAGACAAGACGGATCATCCACGATCTAACTTTATATGATATATGTAACAATTTTATATACTTTCAATAGAGTACTATAAGCAAATAAGTGTATCTGAACACTCATGCAAAAGGAAATAATTTTGCTGAAAAGAAATCAAGCATGTTTTGTAGGCAAAGAAATTAATATTTAACAAACAGAAATTATATTTGAAGAAATGTAGCAGTAAAAAAGTGTTTAAAATTTGTTCGTAAGACCAAGAATTTTATTTTTAAGCTTCACCTTATTTTTAGCACTTTATACATGACTAGAGCACAACCCACATTAATCATAGACTGGATATTACTTCCAGAAATTGCAATAGCAACAGCATGCTTGTTATGCTCCATGAACACAAAACTTCTAACACAGCTCTACTGCAAACACCAGGTACAAAGAGACCTGTCACTGTGCACTAGGGTCTAAGCACACAGGACACATACCACCACCAGAACAGTTTAGTAACAGATCCCTGAAACTGTAGGAGGGGAACTGCAAAGAAATTCTTGAAACAGTGACACTAAGAATTAAAAATTAGCAGTTTAAGTGCAGTTGATCATGACTTGACTGCATTTGTTATTTGTGAAACGGATGAAGTTCAGCAAAATATAGTTGGTGCTTTCAACAGGCCAATTTCATAAATCTGAAAACAACTGAGTCAAATCAGATGGGAGAATACATTTCAAAATGAAAAATGTGAATAACTGGAAACTATTTAAGAACATTTTATTAGATGCCCAAAAAGCCACGATCAAGAAAAAAGCACCTGGCTTAGAGGGGAATTGAAAGCAGCTATAAAAGGAGAAGCTGATCACAATGGATATAAAGCTAGCAATTGTAGAAAATTTATATGGAAAGCAAAAGGACACACAGAAATCTACATCCAGCAGAGTTAAAGGACAATAAGGAGTTATTAAAGTATGTTAGGAACAAAATGAATCCTAACAATGGCATTCATCCATTACTAGATGGAAATGGGAGAAAAGACTGAAGTATTAAAAAACTGTTTCTGTGTTGTATTTGGAAAAAAGCCAGATGTATTCATATGTGATGAGGCTGTATTTTCCATTCCAATAGTAACTTAGGTGGTTATTAAATGAAAGTGTCTCACTTTAGTAGCTGTTAAGTCAGCAGGTTTGGATACCTTGCATCCAAGAGTTTTAGAAGCTGGCCAAGGAGCTCTCTGGAGCATTAATGCTAGTTTTCAGTAAGTCTTCAAACACTGTGGAAGTTTCACAGGACTGACAAAGTAAATGTCGTGACAATATTTTTAAAAAGGTTAATGGGATGACCCAGGCAATAATAGGTCTATCAGCATGACACAGACCTTTGCCAAACTAACAGAAAGGATAATAAAGAACTAATAGTTAATAATAGAATTTAAAAAAGGAGGCTAATATAATTAATACCAATCAGAGGTTTATGGAAAATAGATTGTGTAACTTGATATGTTTTTGATTAGATTAGAAGTTTGATTGATAAGGGTAATAGTATTGATCCAACATAGACTTCTGTAAGGCATTTAACTTGGTACTGCATGATATTTTGGTTAAAAACTAGAATGACTCAAAATAAACATCAGCACAAACTAAACTGATTAAAAACTGGCTATCAGGTCTCAAAATTTTAAACGGGGAATCTTCATTAATTGGGTGGGTTTCCAACAGTGTCCTGAAAGGCCTGGTTCTTGGCCTTATGTTATTTTATATTTTTTCCCCAGTGATCTAGAATTAAAAGCCATGCCTCCTAAAATTGTCAGATGACAAAGACGGGGGAGTGATAAATAACAGAGGACAGATCACTCACACTGAGCAATCTGGATCACTTGGTCAACTGGGCATAAGCAAACAATGTGCATTTCAATACAGCCAAATGTAAGGTCATACATCTAGGAATAAAGAATGTAAGCCATCCTTAAAGGATGAGGGACTATCTTGGGAAACAGCGACTTTGAAATGGACTCGAGAGTCATGGCAGATAGTCAGCTAAAAATGAGTTCCCACTGCAACGCTGTGGCCAAAAGGGCTAATGTGATCCACTGATGCACAAACAAGGGAATACTGAGTAGGAATCAATTATTACTGCTGCATTTGGCACTGGTGCTAGCACTGCTGGAATACTGTGTACAAATATGGTGTCCACAATTCAAGAAAGATGTTGAGAAATGGGTAAGGGTTCAGAGAAGAGCCACAATAATGATTAACAGATTGGAAAAACAGGTTTTATCAAAAAAACTCAAGGGGCTCAATCTATTTAGCTTATCAAAGAGAAGGTTAAAGAGTAACTTGATCACAGTCTCTAAATACCTACATAGGGACCAGAAATTTGACAACGAAAGGATCTTCCATCTAGCAGACAAGGCATAACAAGATCCAGTGGCTGCAGGTTGACAATGGGCAAGTTTATATTGGAAATAAGGTACTTTCTTTTTTTTTAAAATCAGTTGGGGGCAATTAGCTACTGGAATTTACCAAGGGTTGTGCAGGATTCTCCATCTCTGGAAACTTAGATCAAGATAGGATGTTTTTCTAAAACCTATGTTCTAATGCAGAGGTGGGCAAACTACAGCCTGTGGGCCACATCTGGCCCACGGGACCCTCCTGCCCAGCCCCTGAGCCCCCGGCCCTTCCCCTGCTCTTCCCCCTCCCCCACAGCCTCAGCTCACTGCGCCGTCGGCGCAATGCTCTGGGCAGCAGGGCTGCAAGATCTTGCTGGGCAGCACAAGTGCAGAGCTGTGGCCTGACCCAGCGCTCTGTGCTGCACGGTGGGGTGGCTGGCTCCAGCTGGACGGCACAGCTGCCTGTCCTGCTGCTCTGGGTGGCATGGCTGTAGCTCTGCCAGCCACTGGTGCTCCAGGCAGCGGGGTAAGGGGGCAGGGAACAGGGTGCTGAATGGAGGCAGGGGGTTGGGGGGGGGGGGGAAATCAGGAATGAGAGGAGGGCTTGGATGAGGTGGCAGGGGGCAGCCAGGGGCTACTGTCAGGGGGCAAGAAGCGGGGAGCGGGGGTTGGCCCATGCCTGGCTGTTTGCGGAGGCAGAGCCTCCCCTAACTGGCCCTCCATACAATTTTGGAAACCCGATGTGGCCCTCAGGCCAAAAAGTTTGCCCATCCCTGTTCTAATTCAAACAGGAGTTAATTTAGGGGAGTCTTATGGCCTGTGTTACACAGGTAGTCAGATTTGATTATCACAAATGTTCCTTCTGCTTTATAATCTAACTAACATGAAGCTCAAAATGAAGCTTTAGATAATGAAGGTTGTGCTATATAGACCTTACATAGTGAATAAACAGTTGGTATGAAGGTTGTTCCCATTCTCCCTAGTGTTCCCCGTATCCCAAAACATCCAGACTATCTGATGTAGGATATGCAGCTCTTTGTCTTTTCAAAACACATGCAGCCAGGAACCCATAGACAAAAACACCAGGACTGAAGTATGAGCTCCACTGCACAGAACCCTGCTGAGCAGTTGCTAATAGCCCTCTGATTAATGTCTACTAGCTTGACTGAATTTCTACCTCACCAGACTTGGCCACCCCTTACCATGACTTTTACCTTCACTCCTTTCCCATCTCACTACATCTTTCCCTCTTTGCTCAAAACAACTCTATTTTCACTCTTACCATTCTCACATCAGAATAGCTCTCCCTGCCTCCAGCAGAAATTTTGACTTCTGATTTGCAATTTCCTTTCATCCCAATCCTGCACTTCTGCTGACTTCAGCTTTAATGTTGAGGATTTCAACAATTCTACTCTCATTGCCTTATTCAATCCTTGGCTAGATCAATTTAGTTAATCATTGCCTTGGCCATTCTTAATCTTGTCTTCACCAGGCAATGCTCCTCCTCAAATATCACTCATTTACTGTATTCAGATTACTACTTTTTCCTTATTTAGTACTGTACACTTTCCCCATCTCAGTCTCATTCCTTCCATAACCTTCAATACACTGATAGCAAAGACTTCTTTGCTCCTCTTAGCCACCTCCTTCCCTCCTTAAGTGCACCGTACCTCCATATCCTCCTCCCCTTCACTGACACTATGATCACCATTATCCTCTCCTCCATCCTCCCCTTACTCCTTTTCCCTTCACTAATTCCCCAAACCCTGGGTCAACTTTCATATCTGTTTCTCCCCGTCTCCACCAGTGCTGCAGAGTACATCTTACAAAACCTAAGGACCATGAGGGTGACATAGCTAGATGTCCAACACCCATACAACAAATATGCTATAGGCTAATCATGATTTAGCGTTGTCTACTCTAGCAGCTGAACAGTCTACAACCATGGTTAAAGGGTACAGACACATCTGTTCAAGACCACCATTATCCAAAGCAGGACAGTTTCCAAGGCCAGACAGGGACCCAGCTGCGTTACTTACCAAAGGCACTGAAAAGCTGGTAAAGATCACTAGTCTTCCACTCTTTGGGAAATGTAACATGAAGAACATGGTCTCGTTTTGGCTGCACTGCAAGATAAGAATGCATTTAATAATGCTGTCAGGTATTCATATAGGTTTGAATTGTTCAGTGAATCAGAAAAAACTAAAATGTATACTCTAACACAACTACTCATTATAGAAAACTGGTTCACGATTTTCAGAACTGCATGCAGTTAACTGACAGAAGTGAGTACAATTACTGTCATTATGCATGAAAATTACTACTTAAATCAATCTGGCCCATTTGTATATGCATTTGAAGCAACTGTGCATGAAACAGTAACTGCTCACAAATTACGTACATGCCTTTTTTGCCCAGCATTGCTCATATGCAATTATGAAAATCCAGTCTCTTACATCTCTTTTGCACCAAGTTCAAGGAAACTAAACTTACCGTAAAACAGTTCTTAATTAGGTTTTCACACAGTACCAAATACATATTAGAATATAAAACAATCATCATCATCCTCATGTGATTTAAGTTAAAATTGGGAAACAAATGACCTGTTTCTTTATACTACTGATAAAAGGAGAGGTACACAAGTAGGATGGAAAAGTTAACTGTATGCCAGGAACCCTAGGCATGTAGTGAAAATTATTTGGTTTTCAGTAAAAGACAGAAAGGGAAAATGCAGAATTTGGCTGAACCCACAGCACAGCACTCCCCCCATAAACTTATTGAATTTGTGCATGATTGTAATGAAAAGCAACTTTGTTTCATTCTTGGAATACTCACATTCTGTAATTTCCTCATCCCATTAAAAGAGAAAAGAATGGGATACCAATATTTTAACGTGCAGCTAATTTATACTATTTGTCACTTTTATTCATCAAAACATCCAGAATTTATCCTCTGTGGCTTATGTCCTTGACGTAAGAGTTACTGGACATTGCCTCATTCTGTTTTATTTTGTTCATCCTTCGCTACCCAACGTCAATTTGTCTACTCGTGCCCTCAAAAGAGATCAGGGAATTTATCTGGAATGCCGACTACTTGGACAACCTCAAGTGGCAAATATAATCCACTGGTGCCAACGTTCTCCCTGATGACAGCTGCTTCCTTCCAGATCCATATAATCCTAGGATTTAATCTAAAGTAATATTTTGGTTTGGTTAATTCTAATTCATTGCTCCAAGTTGTTCAGGAGAACACACATCTTTAAACCAGGAATGTGAAGTTGAGTGCAATTCCCACCACTGCAAAATTGTACTAAGGAAACACCTTAGCATTTCTAGTATACTCTCCATGAGTGTCTTACTAAAAAGTCCTATTAAGAATTCCTTACAAACCTGAGATTTTTTTTTTAAAAAGAAGAATGAGTACCTTAATTTAAAAATTCAACTTTGTTTTGGTCTGTACAGTACAGAAACCTATTTTGCAGTGTACAGGCAGTTTCATATTTTAAGCTTTTGCTCTGTCAACTTTCAGAACTGCTGGTTATACAAGTGTATTTTTAATCTTAAAAAGAAATTTTGAATTTCAGCACTATTTTATATTGAATAGATTGCTTGCTAGTTTCTGATCATTTTGGCTCCCCTGTACATTGAATCCTGTACAATGTAAGCCTGACAACTTTACTTGACTTCAGATTAGAGTTTAGAAATTGAAATGCCTTCTATTTTAGGTAACATTTTTTAGTTTGTATAGCTCTGAATAGTAGTTTTCATATTTAAAAAGATGGCCTCACAATTTTTATGCAAAACACTTTCTACGAGGACAAGTAACGCTTAGTTCACTGGTTTCACAGTGTCCTCTGTTGCGCCCTAACTGCTCCCTCCACCTACTATTTCTAGCTAGTATAATTATAAGGTTTTAAAAAATTTTAGTGCATCTCAGCCCTCCACCACATGAAGTGACAGCTCTGTCTAATGCTGGAGAGTACACCGATCTTGACAATGTAACATTCCCGTAGTAGTTCAGTGCTAATGGAAGCTACAGATCCATATACAAGCAAGTCTTAATCTGGAGTGAAAGGAGCAGACCTATGCACAAAGTATCAATATAAGGGCATTAGTGATAAGTACAGGTTGTGAAATGTGAATGTTGAGGTATATCAGAAAAATACGTGCATTTAACTAGTTAACATCAAACAACTTCTCTCCTCCATGATAAAACAATTATATACTGATTTAAGATGAGTGGGATTTACAGGCAATACTAGATAGTGACAATAGAAACCCCTCCGTATGTTATATTGCCTGTACGTTGGTTATTTCTTTGTCTATGATTTTGTAATTAAGATTGCTATCAAAATCCACAGTTAGCACCTTTAAACCGATCATTTTAATCTGAATTTAAATCTAGTAGCATACATACCAGGATAGATCAAGGGCTTGAGTCTTTTCTCATTTACACTTGTTTAATTATATTGGGTGAAATCACAGACTCGTTAGAGTCCATGGAAAAATTCACGGATTTCGGGGGGGGGGGGCAGATTTCACCCACTGATCTCAGTGGAGTTATAACTGATTTACGCCAGTTAAAGTGGATAATTAGGCTGTTACTTTGAACACCAAAAATGAACAGTGTGTGTAGTGCTTTGTGTCACAAGTAGTGTCAGCAATTTCAATTTGTGGCATGCTCATCTTAGCCTAAGATTTGTATGAAAACAGGAACTTTGTTTTAAAGACACCTACCCTGCTGCTCTCCCTCAATTCAATCAGTTCTGAATAGAAAAATCCATCATTTCTACGGAAACCACTGAGAGGATGGTAGCTTCAGGTAGGACATAAATGGAGTAATTCAGCCTCTCAGAATAAGATTTCAATATTTATAGAAATGTATTTCAAAATAAAGAAAATGTGCTCAGATAAAGTTTGTTAAAAAAACATTTAATTTAAGCCCTCCATTATGCGTTAGTAGTTTGGAAACCAATTAATAGATCAAAGATCACCAGACAAAAAGGGAATTTGAATTAAATACACTTACGCTAAAGCTGCAGGGGAAGCCAGATATAATGAAAAAAATATTGCCCTGACAAGTGTAACTCTACTATAAGGAAAAGCCAGAATTGTACACTAAGAAATTTTACTGCTGAAAATAGCCACACCTAAAGTACAGTACAAACTAGAGCTAATGCACAAAAATTCAAATTTCATAAACTAATTTAAGGAAGATCTATTTCTTGTTGTGAAATACAGTTGATGGTGAATATTTCAAAGGGTTTTATTTAATCTTTGCAACTCAATTAGTCTCGCATTAGAACTCTAAATTTCCCAGTTCAAGATAAAGGTTTGAATAGCATCTGTTTCCAAATTAGATAGAATAAACTGTTTATGGTCTTAATAAATGAACCTTACCACATTTTCTTTTTATTCTTAAATTTTACCCCCTATATTGTAACCACCTTCTGATGAACACCAATGCCTAGCCAGGATAGGAATGTTTCTGTCATTTCACCAACAACCGTTGTTTTATACAGTGTTCTTAATACAAAGGTAATCAAGTATAACTGCTGTGAAAGCCTCTTCATATTCATCACTTCTTGAAATTGAGGAGAGGTTACTGAATTCCTCTACACTATAACTTTTACAGCATTAGGCTAGCTGAAATATACTATTCTAGGTGTTTGCTCTATAATTTGGCATAAAGATAACATCTGGCACAGTTGCAGAACTAGCTGCATCTCTGGACTCTAAGTGAATCCCCTTCAGATATGAGGCCTTGTACCTTTATCTCTGTTCAGTGGAATCACAGGATTCTTCCACTCCTACGATAGGTCCTGGGCCACATCATCCCATGGATCAACTGCTTACCCAGCAGGCCCAAGTGGTTTAGGCACCCACAAGTGTTCCCTGCGGGAGCCTGAGACCAGTGGATAATGCAGGAGACCAGACAGCTTTCGCAAACCAAAGTATTGTTAAATCTTTTTAGTAGGAATAAAGCATGTCTACCCACCCTACAGTTACCGTGCCATGGAAGTTTAAAGCCCAAGTACTTCAGATCCCCCAGCAGTCACTTTGTTTCCCCTGAACAGCTCCCTAACAACTGCCTCCCCCTCTCTAGAAGGAATTTTTAATCATTTAGGGTATATTTACACAGCAGCTGGCTGATTCCCAGCACAAGTGGACATACACATACTAGCTCTACTCGAGCTACAGTACTAAAAATAACATTGTGGCCGTGGCAGTCAAGCGAGTCACCCAAATACAATCCTACCTGATGTCCTAGGTAAATATTTGGGTGGCTAGCCCGAGCCGTTACTTGTGGCACCACAGCCACACTGCTCTTTTTAATGTGCAAGCTTGAGCAGAGCTAGAATGTGTATATCTACTCACTTTGGGAATCAGAACACCCAGCTGCTGCGTAAACACACCCTTCGGGTCATTCTGATCTTTTTGGCTGTCAGACTTAGTTTTGTAATTTTGCTGGCACCTGGCAGCAGCAACTTCACAGCTTAGTAGCTCAAGCATTGTCTCTTAATGATCCTAAAAATGTTTACATTGAGGTTACTTATTTCCCAAATGCCTACTATTAAACTAAACCAACATATGCATATAATAATCATACCAATAAAGCTATACTGTAACTATCCCAATAACTACGTCACATACTATATTCATAAATTGCTGCTGATCTCCCTTACAACTTTCTCAAACTAAATTTCTCTCTGAAGTACTTACTTCCCTCCAGTCAGTGAATTTAATGAAACTGCCATCAAAAGGCTATAGTTACAAAAGGCTATTTTTAGTCAGAATTATTCAGAGCACAGAAAAAAGAAAAAAAAAATCTTAAAAAGGGACGAGAAATGGCTATCATCAGGAAGTTTTATTTTGAGGGTAAAAGCAAATGTTTTTCTTGAGTGACATGTTTCAAAGTCACTAGGAATATTTTTTCTCCTAAAAAAAACTAAAAACGATTAGGGTATTTATATAGCAACCTTTCCTATGTTAAAATACTTGTTAAAAATTCTAGTCTTGACATGAAATTAGTCTTTTACCACTCTTTTATTGTGGATTATATATTTACTATTGCTGTAGTGCGTATTAAGACTACAAACAGACTTGTGTTTTTCAAGTGTCTGTAGGGCTTCAATGGTTTTTAAAGAAAACCTTAAGCACAGGGATGAAGAATTTTTCAGCCTCTCTCTCATCAAGGACCAAAACCTTCCCATATTTTTAGCCAAATAAATCAAGTCATGAAAGGTTCAGATCTCTAAAGTTTGTAAGGATGATAGGGTCCATACAATGCTTTCCCTCTTGAAGTTATAACCTTGTATGAAAATGAACCTCTGGCTCAATAGCCTTAATAAAAAATAAATTATTCATTATCATTCTATGGTTTTGAATCCACAGCCAAGGTAACACTGATTCTATTTGAAGGCATAATTTCAATCCTCATCTAATTTCATCAAAATATCCTTTGGCCTGAAAATTCTTACACTTAGGTGAAACAAATTTTTTCTGAATTTTGAAGCAAAGTTGTCAATCTACTTTCAGAGTCATTGAATATTCACTACCTTGCATCCTTTACTTACCATAAGATACGAGACAAAATGGCCATTTAAGACTGCAAACTTTAATTTGGGCCACTTCACTTGTGCGTAGATCAAGGATAGACTATGACCCAAAGCTATTATCTTCAACTACATTAAACTTGGTACCCACAAGGAGTCCAGACTGATCTAGACAAAACCCATTTCAAATAGTATTTACTGTATAGTGCAGATCCTCCATCCAAAGTAACAAGGATGGTTACTTTTTTTTTTTTTTTAATAAAATGGAGAAGCAGTACATTAATGCCACTTGATAAGAGTTGTGAATAGAGCTCAGCTGCAATTTAAGTCCCATGCTCTACCCATAATACTGTCTTACACTTGCTTCTACAAAGGACCTTTCTAACCAGAACAGTAGTAAGATCAAGGCAAAATGAAAACAATTACTTACAGTCTGGTCCTTCCAAATTGAGATATGGTATGTCCATTACCCTCATAAGAAATAACCTAAGGCAAAAAGGAGAAGCGTCACTAGCGAACTTATGCCATACAGATCTCTTTAAGAGGCTATTATAAAGCTTAACACCACACTTCTTCTCTAAGTTAGTCGGGAGTAGTACTAGTCACCCTAAGCAACGGAAAGCTTTAGTCCCACTAATAATTTAAAAATCACAAGATGTAGGGAGTATCCCACCAGCTAGCTCGTTCCATGCGGTGCAATTATTTTAAAGTGAATGCTAGTTATCTTACTGACTTGCTCTAAAACAAATATGCCTAGTGTTATTAAAATAGGAAAGAAAATGTGAAAAGTACACACACATTTCAAAATAATCCAGTAACTTATTGGCAGTGTTTAAAGCAGTTAAGTAATTAAGAATTGATTACAGTGTGGAAGGAATCAAGAAGCACTAGCCTAAATACGTTGGAGAGGGGGCCATAGGAGTCAGCTGTTAATGTATTGTAGTTCTGTCTTTTCCTCCTCTACCTACAACTTCCCCAGCCCCTTATGTCCCTATCTACATTGAATGGAACTGGAGAGCTTAAAAACAGATAGCCTATGCTATTTTAATGGAGAACAATGAGAGATCTGGCCAAATAAAAGCTGTCCCCCTCAACACCATGAAAACTACAGGAATGTCTACACTACAGAGGCACAGCTATGGTGCTGGAGCTCTATAGTGTAAACACTTACTACAGTGATGAAAGGGGTTTTTCCACTGAAGTAGTTAATCCATCCTCTTTGAGAGGCAGTAGCTAGGTCGACAGAAGAATTCTTCAGTTGACCTAGCAGCGTCTATACCAGGGCTTAGGTACGCTTAACTATGTTTCTCAGATGGTGAGAAAAATTCACAATGAGCAATGTACATAGGTTATCCTAAATTGTAGGTATAGATCAGGCTTCTGTAATGGAAAGTAAGTTTTTCATAATTTTGATTCATATCTAAATAGTGCCTCTCTTTATGATCTATCTGGTTAAAATTGTTAGCTTCAGCATGCAGTAAGCCAGAAAAGAGAACAGGATGACCTAATGGTTTTTAATTTGATAAAATCCATGCCACTCCACGTTAGAAGCACAAGTCCCTATTTGCGTAACAGTTTACTAAATAAGAGACGGGTATATGCTGCACACACCTAACCATTTTGTGGAGAGAGAAGCCAAGTGACACTTGAGATTATAAATGGAATGCATTCTGTCACATTTACTGTCCAGGAGCTGTGAACTGAACATCTACAAGCTATTTTGTTTCTTTCATTAATGAGTTTTCCATTGGTATGGCTGGATGTTTTTCAACAAGGTTCATAAAAAAACCCACCACGGGAATTTCAGAAAGTGTTAAAACAAGAAGAATTCTCAGACTGATACCAAATTGGTGCTATATTATTCCCAGGTCACTAGCCCCAGCTCCTCCCGCATCCCTAGTTCCACACCCAGTTCTGCCTTCAGCCCAAGCTCCATTGCTGAGGAAGCCTTGGCTGTGCAGTAATGGAGGGGAGAAAAATTCCATTAATGGGAGAGCGCAACTGGAAACATTTGCACACCACTGCTATAGAACTTGCATAACATTATTAACAAAATATCTTAGAGAAAATGAAGTAACTATGTACATTAGACCAAGGAAACACAGTCCTATGACAACAATTCCACTTAATATCTGACCCTTGCATCATCCAAGGTAGGTAGAGTTGTGGGAGATGCTGCTAGCAGAAAGGAAATTATTGGTAAGAAGTTTTCCACTCTGCTCCACAGTATTTCCCACAATACTGGACATGAGGTAAGTAGTGAACAGATGTAGGGAGGGTTCTGATAAAAAGTTTGGTAGATATGTACTCCCTTTTCATGAGCTCACTCAAAGGTCTACATTATTTGGTTGTGTTTTTTTCAGAAACCATTGCAACTTCGGGGCCCACGCCTGGATTCAAACTGATGGCTAAGAGATTTTGTATTTCATTCTAAGTCTTCACCCAGAACCATTCTGTTCACCAATTTTAGTTTTCAAACTGAAGACTATATTTTGAATGAAGATTTTTATATACTATGGCAAATATAATATTTGAATAACTGTGTGTTTTATGAGAATGACATTTTTACATAGAAAATCTGTACACTGTTTAAGTTTTCTAGGAACTAAAAGCAGGGTAACCTTGTTTAAGTGCTCTATTTTTTAACTGACAGTAAGTGCACGCTACTATATTGTGTTTGACCTATTTATGCATGTTTATAATATATTTGCACCTCAAAAATGGAGAAAAATATTTAGAGAGTTATAAAAACAATTCTTCAAGGTACGTATCATGATTAAGGCTAAGTTTTTGTCACAGATATTTTTAGTAAAAGTCATGGACAGGTCATGGGCCTCCGTGAATTTTTGTTTATTGCCCATGACCTGTCCATGACTTTCACTAAAAATACCTCTGACAAACTGGAGAGGCAGGTTCAGCACCCACTGGTCCTGGGGCTCCTGGGTCCCCCACCGCTGCGGTCAGTGGGAGCTCTGGGGTCCCAGCTGCTGTGGGGAGTGGGAGCTGCGGGGGTCCCCATTGTGGCTGAGCAGCTGTGGTGTGCCCCCACCATTGCATGGGCTGGGAGCTGTGGGGCTGGGATAGAGGGGAGGGAAAGGGCTGGGGGCAGAAAATGTCACAGAGGTCAATGGAAGTCATGGATTCTGTGACTTCCGTGACCTCTGTGACATAATCGTAGCCTTAATCATGATGAATCCATCTGTAAAAAGACCTTATAGAAGTTAGCAGTATATGTACCAAATAAAAGCAAGTTCATTCTGTTAAAAAGTATTTGTTAGGTTGTCTTAGTTCTAGTTAAAGCCTCCTCACCATTTTAATTTAGGAGGGGTTCCATGGTTGAAAGTGATACAACAGCTAAAAATTAATGGAGCTATGCAAGATTACTTCAGAAGCAACTCCGTTTTTTTGAAAATTCAGCACAGCTATTTAGCTTAAAGTAAAAATACACAGTACATTTCACAATAGGCAACATAGCTAACTGCAATTCTTCATATTAGCTCAGCCAAAAGACAAGCTTCTAGGATCAACAAGACCATGGCTGTTTTCAAATCCTCTGAAAGCTTAGTAAAGGTACTGAATTGAAGCAGACAAATAACATTTAGAAAAGATTGATCAACTGCTTGTTCTAAATTCTACATTTATTTAAGTTTAAGAAATTGAGTAAATAAGCTTATAAGCAGGGATCCTAGTCTTTCCGTGATAAAAAACCCACAAAATTCTCCAATAAAAATCTGAAAATCAGTGTTTTTCCGTGATTAAAATGAAACGCTGAACTTTCATTCTGTAGCTGCAATGCACACACATATATCAGTTGAACATAATATCTTATTGATATATTTACCATTTTTAAGCAAGTTCAAAGCCTAACAGTGTCATCAATCATAAGAAAAAAATACAATTACAATTTCGTTTTTTCATATACCAAGCCTTTATGCCATTGAGTAACCTCTATATGCCAGAGGTTTACTGGAGTATGTAAATTTAAAGTGCATTTAAAAATCAACCACAAAAGGGAGAGGTTGCATGCATTGAATAAGTGACATTGGTACTTTCAGTAAAATTTAGTTAATAGTTAATATGTTTTTATTTTTTCACAAAACGTACAAACTGAAGATTTTCTGTAAAAACGCAAATTCTGCATTTTTTCATGGCAAATGGATTTCTAGGATTCCTGCTTATGAGTAAAATACTGTTTTTTGCAAGTCAGTCATCCTTAGCTATTTGACTTACTTTGTATTACAGACATCACCCTCTCTTGTCATGTAGTCACTACTGACACACATACAGGTTTATCTTAATATTGTGTTGAATAGCATTTATGAAGTCAGAAAGTAAAGGTACTTAATAGAACGAAACTGGCATTTAGAACTTAAGTCCAAACCCAAAGTATTTATTGTAAGATTTTCTGTACGGAAGCTAGAAGCAGGAACTACATTTACCACTACAACATGTAGTGAAAAAGTAGCAGGTGCTCCAAGTTTAACATTGGATTTATTTTTACCCCATGAAAACATATTGATCCATTCTTGACTGCAGATTTGTGTTAACTTAAGTTCTAAAATGTATCTGTTTTCTTATCTTTATTCAGCTACCACACAAGAAAATCATAAATCCACTAGGGAAGTGATTTCCGATATCATAATGTTGTAAAGCTGAAGTGCTCAACCTGTAGGTCACGACCACATCGCCCTCTTGTAGTTGACAAGTGTGTGGGGTAGAGAGGTCTCAAGCCAGTTCTCATGCCCCGATTTTGGTTTTCCTCTGAAGTGATTTGCTTAGTCATTCAAAACCATCCCTCCAACATCAAAACCACCAACCATTACATAGATTTCAACAGCACATCCCTTGAAGTTCTGTTCAGCTTCCTGCTTCTGACTGAATGAAATAACTACTTTTTGTAAGTTAATATGCAATATTTATACCCAAAATGCGCCCCTCTCCCCCCCATCACCAACACACACCACTTTGCTTTACAGGGAACATTTTTCATCTCAACTGTTAAAAAATAAAATACACCTAAATAGATTTACAGATTTTTAACTCCAGAAAGGATCATTGCAATCATCTAGTCTGGTAAATTAACAGCTCCATAGTTTGGAGAAAAGTGCATTTATATATGCATTGAAATAATGTGTGTTATTGATTTATGAAGTGCTTCTTGTGTAGCAGCTAGGTGCTAGTTTACTAAGTTAAGAAACCAGTGACAAGAGTTCCCACACCACACTAGAGAATCACTGCAGTTGTTCCACAAACACTAATATTTTATTAGGAACACCATAAACAATTCTGATAAGACTAAACCAAATACAAATCTTACAAGGTGCCCTGACAGAATTCAAGACCGATACTGAAGCCAGCTCCTTCAACCCAGAAAGCACGGCCATCAGCCCTACAGAGTTCAACTTTAGAAAATGGAAAGAATCATCTCCCAAACAATCTGAACTGCTTCAGTGGGGGCCAGGATAAAGCTGCTTCTCAGACAGAAA